GTACGTGAATGTATATATAACGCACTGACTCTGACATTATTAGAAGGAACTTTTTGAGCTGAAAACTTAGTAAATACAACAGGAGTAAGATCTGTTGTGCCTGTTTCAAAGATGTTAATGTTAGTGCAAGTGAGAGAGAGACAGTTTCTGGACAATGGATTGCAATCTTTAATTGCTCCAATAGAAGCAAAGTGCAGTTTTAAATAGGGTGCATTTCCGATTTCATTAAAACTTCCGAACGTTGAAAGTGCAAAATTCAAAGTTTATTATGAACCCTCTTTGCACACCGTTGAATATTAAGGTAGTACTTTTTGTCGATGAGATATATTCCTTGATTTCTATGTCTTTAAATGACGCTTGAACACTTTTAAAAATAAACTGAGTAGTAATTATTTGAGTCGTATCCAGCAAATAGAGAAAAGATTTGGGCATTCCCCCCTACTTTGCCTTCATGCTCCGCACTCGTTGTCACTTGCCGTACTCTGCATTGCTCAAATTACGGTTCTACGCATATTGATTGATGATATCCGGGAGCTCAGAAAGGGAGGCTATTGATCCCTAAGAGTGTAGTATATGGTTTTCTTCTGTATGGGCTGGTGATCTTCCCCGCTGGTTGGTGGGATTCGGCGCCGACATATGTCGGCTTACTGGATTTTTCCTACAACCAGGTATCTCCCACCAGCAAGTCCACCGTCCCGGTCGGAACAAGCTCTAAGCTGTCCGACCGGTCTCCCGGCCATGCTGTGGTAGTGTAATGTTACGTTTAATGTGCGTGTAAAGGGTGTGAATAGCGACAAGAAAGAGGTAGGAAATATTGTTGCACGGTCCGTGACCCGTTTCGTTAGGGGACTGCTCAGGCATTCGCCTGGTGTTGCGTCGCGAGAAACACGTAAAACTACCGATCGAGGCGCCCGCCAGAATTCTCCTCCAGACAGCGACTCCAATGCTATCAGCTATGAAGGCTAGTGCCGAACATCCGACCACCGTCGCGGACTCGACCTAGAACCTTCCGGTCGGAGGCACTGCAGTGGCGTCAGTTTGCCGCCCTAGCACACCTTTTCCCGGTGGGTTCCGCTCACCTGTCCTGCACGGGACCTTCCCCGTCGACGCCACCGCCCATTGCATTTCGCCCCGCGAGGCCCTTTCCTTCCTCTCCGCGCGGGCGCTCCGCTCCCACGCGCGCATCGAGGTTAAACCGTGACGCCTTTTGTTGTCACGCTGCGCGGACGCCTCCCCCTTCCCCCCTCCCCCTCGCACCCTTTCCAATTTTCATAATAACCCACCCACCCTTCCCCAGCGGCCCGCATCAGGCCATTACTCCCACCGGCCCTTCCCGCCTCCCCCTCCACCCGCGTTGCACAGGTAATTTCTGCCCCGCGCCCCTTCGCCACGCCGACAGCCTTGCGCCGCTCCGGGCCAGATATTGCCAGCGCACAATTTAATCCCGAGCGCCTCCGGCTAAATAAAGCAATTTGCGTCCCTTCCGCGGGAGGGGAGGGCGGTTTCAATTGCTCGACGTAATGTCACCACCCGCGCCGCGAGCTCGTCCCCTTGTTCCCCCCCTTGCTAGGCGTGCCCAGCGACTGTGCGCACCGCGAACACGCACACACGATCGCACCGCGAAATTGTCACGTTAGCGACTCGGCAGCCGGACCCGGCGCGACGCCAGCGCTGCTATCATCTGTTGCCTTCGAGTCTGTACCTAGAGACTGTGAGTTGCCGCCAAACCGAGCGATGCCCGGCCGTATGATATCCTTTGTATCTATAGTACTTAAAAAGTCCGGACACTGGGGTGGTGCCCGCGGGTGGGGGAGATACCTGGTTGCGGGGGAAAACCCGCAGGCCGACGGGAAAGTCGGAGGCGTTCGGATCTCGCAATCCAGCGAAGAAGATCACAGCCACCACAAGCAGTTAACAACGTGCCACTTAACTTTAACGGGAATAATGTCCTTTGCAACGTTGACGCTGACTGGAATCACTAGTCAATCAATTCAGGGTTTTGTGCGGGTTTCTTTTTTGACGCCCTTGAAAAAAAAATTGATTCCCCCGATTATTCACTGTTCCGTGTTGGTTTAAAAGAAAAAAAAAAAAACTAGATAGTGCCAATTAACTTGTTGCCCACTACTTCAAAAAACCAGTGCAAAAAAACCCCAACCGGGGAAAATTTTCACTTTAAAAAATTGTATTTTTTTTTATTTTTTTCCCATTTCCTCTCTTTTTTTCCT